ACACTCAAACCTAAGGAGAATTTAGAGAAGCCACTTAACCTAACAGTCATGTTTTTTGGACTGTGGGAGGAAACTGGTGTACCCAGAGAGAACCCACGCATACACAGGGAGAACATGCAAACCCATGCAGAAAGACCCCAGGCCAGGAATGGAACCCGCAACCTTCATGCTGCAAAGCAGCAGTGCTACCCAGTACACCATTGAGCAGCCCCACTGGAGTCTCTTGGACGGCTTAAAATGTTTCACAGACAACAGAGAGTTGCTTGGTGGTACAGTGCTACAGTCAACCCTCATTTAACCCCCGTAGTGTGTGAAACCTCAAAGGTTTACCAAGGCTGCTAAGCTAAAATTGGCATGGACAAAGTGTTGAGGTCGTAGAAAAGACTTCGAGTGACGGCGATATCGAGGCAATGTACCTCAAAATTGTGTGTCAAATTATGAACGTGTCTCCCTTCATACTAATATAGTGCCATCAGGCTTATTGCATTTTCAGTCACTAGAATGGTGACAGTCTCACCATGGATGTTTCTTTTATTCTGTTTCACTGTTAAACTGGATACATACACTGCAACAAATTCTCATTACAGAACTGCTTTAGAGCCATTAGGGCTAAATGCTTGGTAAGTCTTTATTCAAGTCCTTAAGCCATAGGAAGTCTTTCAAATCTTTTATATTTTATCTATTCACTCTGAAAACCTCTTCAGTTACTTTGGCTGTGGTTGTTGCCAATATGACTACTTGCTGCATCTCCCATTGTGGTCTTAAAAGCTCACTGGTGGGGGATCTTATTTCCCGGTCGTTATGCCGTTTTCTTAGGAAAGTAGCATATTTATCAGATTTTCTGGTGTTCTGCACTTCCTAACGTCAGCTTAAAGTGATTTTTTGTTTGCCAAGTTCTTTCAGTAAAAGAGCTGAAAATAGAGATTTTAATTTGAGTGTGATAAAATGCAGAATAAAGTGGATGATTTCATGGACATAATCATCCCAGAGTCTTCACTTCCATAAAGCTGCTGTTCACAGTTGCTGTGTCGATGCCATATTTGTTTGTTTCCAACCCCCCTCAAGATGTCTCCTGGCTGCACTTGAATGTCACTTCGACAGCCCTATTCTGTCTTTCACACAGAGCTGATCCAGCATCTGTTCATCTTTGCTTCGTTATCGTGAGCAGGATTTCAATCTGTCTCAATAAAATGTCATCATTTGTTATAAAACACAGGAACACAGATGTTTTTCTGTCACTGCAGAAAACATTACTTTTAATCAGATTAATTTCCTCAAAACTTGTATTAATGCTGAACATAAAGCTGTTGTTTAACCTGAACTGTTTAAAAAATCACCATCTGCAATTGTCATGTTTCTTTGTGTCCATAAAGACACAGATCTTTGTAATGTCTGTAAACCGGCTTATATCCCTAAAAATTTGAAAATGTAAGTTCAGACCGAGGTCACAGTAAGTCAAATAGGACAGATTATATGCTTGATGAGACATGGAGAATTAAGTTCACTTTAAGGTTGGATGATTGATATAGGTCAAGGGTGATAATCTGATTAAAACCTAGTGTGTGATGATTGTCTGTTGATTGTGATGTGGGTGGAGGGTGCAGTTTAAAGTCCACTCTGGTCTTTATTACATGATCCAAAAACCAAACATGCTAAACCAATACTTCTGTTTTTGTTTGAAATGATAAATAGTTGTTAACTCAAACTAACAAGAATATTTTTTTAACAATGTGAATATTTTTGTTTTTGTGTGAGGATGTTTGCCAATGCCACACTACAGAATAAATAAATGCTATTGCTGATATGGTCAAGTCAGCCGCTTCTAGCAGCGAGGCGCTTAAAAATATAAGATGCTGAGCAAGTTGGTCTGTTAATATTTTATTTTTTTTGTAAATATTTTATCAATTTCTGCCCAGACTGTGATAAAATTCAAATCTTAGTCATATCCTCACAAGTCAAACAGCATAGACAAATGTACCAAAATCCCCTCAACTGTTTAGATTAAGTGAAATTTAAATTAAATATGTGCTTGTAGATCCAAGCAAAAACTGCATTCAAGCTCTAAAATGTAGACCTCTAATTTCATCATGGCTAAAATTGCTTAAGTAAATGGGACAAAATTATGCTGATGTTATTAATATCCAATGCCTCACAAAAGTTTTTAAACCCTGTTATGTATTTCATCTTATTACAGTCACAGACTTTAGTGAATATTATTGAGATTTTGTAGGGAAGAAAGAGAGAAAGTAAGGCATAATGGAGACATGAAATGGAAAATGAATGTGCTGTATTAGTTTCTTTTTGAAATATATCAACATTTGAAAAGTGTAGTGGTACATAAGTATTTTGTCCATACCTGTTTCCTTCAGTAACAGCTGAGCCCTTTGACATATAGTATTTATGTTCCAGCTTTGTACATCCAGAGAAATTCTTTACTTTTTCTCTTTATACCTCAAATTTGGTCCAACTGAATGGAGATTGTCTGTGAAAATATTTTTTAGCAGATAAAAAAGGTCCATTTTACATGAAAAAACAGGATTGTTTTGTCTGAACAGAGCATATTTCATTTACATATATATATATATTTTTGTCCTTCACCTTAATGCTTTGTGTAACTCCAGTGGAAAGGAAAGTGTTTATAGCTATGCAGTTGTGGCATATTCTTTTCATTTTTGGATGATATATTGAATGCTGCTTCATCAGATGCCCAAATCTTGGGATGTTTTATCATAACAAAGGCAGTAAAAAAAATGTGAAGGAAAAATCAAAATAATGTTCAATATTATTTGTATCTTTTTAAATAAAATCTTAATAAATGAAGCTTTTATTTTTGGTTCTTGGAATATAAAACCTAAAAAATAAAAGTACAGTTTTTATGAATCCTCTTGAAAGGTGCTGTAGGTTTTCCTGTTTCTCACTGAATCAAGTGGAAGTGATGCATCATTTTATTCCTAAGGGAATACAGCGAGCTGACTGGACATGATGACTAATAACGTTGAGGCAATGCAAACTGGTTAGAAATATTTTCCTACTTACAGCAGCACTGTGGAACATCAAATGGGCAACTTATCACTGTAACTTTTATTGGGCCTGTGGCAAATCTTAAGCTTCAGTCTTTGTCCTGCATAGATGGGTAACCACTGCTAGGACAACACACCTTTGCTCTGATTGGGTTTAGGGGAAAATACTATCACCATTAGATGTAAGATTTCACTTTGTGATTACCTCTTGTTCACACCAGGAATACTAATTTCAATAAACCTAAATGACATTGGCACTTGGCTGGTAACAGCCTGTAATGTTTATAGACCGTCAATGTTGTGATGTTAAAACTGGATCCCTCATTTGTCTGGTTTCTTGCTGGTAATAAATGTTGACCAATAGTTTAACAATGCTTTACTAACTACAGGCGAAAATTCTAATCTATCCATCTTTCTCTGCAGATCATGAAGGAAGTCTGTAGAGCTTTGGGGAATGCAGCTGCTGATGACAGTAAGCTGTTACTCCTCAGCTCTGTGGGCACGGTCTTCTGTAGCGGCCTGGAGCCCTCATACCTCATAGGGCGTTTGTCCACTGACCGCAGGAAGGAGAGCAGCCGAATTGCAGAATCTGTACGGTAAGATGGATTATCTATATTGTTGGACATGTAGCAATTCTGAAGTTTCCAAAAACCAATGGACTTTGTTTTTGAAGTTTGAAGACATTTCGTTTCAATCCAGGAAGCTTTTTCTATTCAAAATGTCTGGATTAGCGTTGAGTACCAGGTGTATAGAGTGGCCCAAAACAAAACCTTGTTTTGGTTTAAAAAACATGCAAAGTGAACCTAAAAAAATAGGCCCGCCCCTTAGTAATGGGGAGTGGTTGAGGTCTTTTTTAGCCTGCAATACACGATACTGGCCCATGTCATTGAAAGGGGAGTCGTTAGGGTCATTGCTGACCAGGTGAGGTCAGCAATGATCCCCTGCATTGTGATGAGGATCGAGATGATAGCAGGAAGCAATCAACTCTATCGCTGCCTTGTAGTTTTTTTGAGAGCTGGAACCTGAAACCACTCCCTCTGTTTAATGTTGTTTTTTTCTCTCTTAGCATAAATGGCTTCCTTCACACCCCTTTTAAACCACTTGTCTTTTTTGTCCAAAATGTGAACTTTCTGGTCCTCAAAAGAATGTTGTTTGTCCTTAAGGACAAGGCCTCTATCTTAAAAAAGAAAGCAGGAAACTCAACGCTACTCCAGACATTTTGAAATGAGCAAGCTTCCTAGATGGGAAACTAAACGTCTTGAAACTTGGAAAACAGAGTCCAGTGGGTTGTTTTTGAACAATTTTGGAATGATTATGACCTGGATGACTGAGAATCTTCACCAGCTGCAATTCTGAACATAATCTCCACTTATCTCCCTGGTACCACTTTAGAGACTTTGTGTTGGCATTTATCCACTTCAAGAAACCTATTGTTGTGGCAATAAACGGACCTGCTTTGGGATTGGGGGCATCCATTCTGCCTCTCTGTGATGTGGTGTGGGCGAGCGAGAGAGCATGGTTTCAAACACCATGTGCAGCCCTCCACCTCACCCCATCTGGATGCTCCTCTTACACCTACCCACAGATTCTGGGTGTAGCTTTGGTGGGTCTCAACTTTTATTAAATCTCTTATCTAAATAAATCACATGAATAGCTCATTTTCATTACAAACTAATGTAAAGGTCATATGACACACCTCCTGTAACCACAGGCCAATGAGATGCTGTTTTGTGGAAGGAAACTTACAGCACAGGAAGCATGCAGTCGGGGTCTGGTTTCACAGGTCTTCTGGCCAACCACATTTAACCAAGAGGTGATGCTGCGCGTGAAGGAAATGGCATCATGCAATGCAGTGGTAGGTCCTGATCTATACAACATTTGGGGCTAATTTGTTTGTGACTTATAAACACGATTAACAAATCACTGCTTTACCTTTTTCCCCAAATAAGGTCCTAGAAGAATCTAAATGCTTGGTGAGGAGCATCCTCATCCCAGTCCTGGAGGAAGTGAACGAGAAAGAGTGTCAGATGCTAAAGCAGCTGTGGTGTTCAACCAAAGGACTGGAGGCACTCTTCAGTTACGTGCACAATAAAAGCAGTGAAAAGTAACCCCGCAGAGTCAGGAGGAGGTAACGGCTACTGCTGGTCTGATGCGTCCTGGATAGGGACATCCAAGATGAAAATGCTGTGACTTACTCTGAGGCTTTGGCTCCATCCATCAGAGAAAACCTTCTGGACGTGTGTCTACTTGTGTCACTAGAAACAAAAATAAAAACTTAACATCATTTTTTTTTTTTTTTGTATCAGAGCTTTTTATTGGACCCACTGTGTAATAATTTCTATGTTCTTTTAGCAGCAGGGGGCAGCTGTGCATCATTTAAAACAGAGATTATCTCACTTAATGTAACAAAGGAGTAATGCATATTATTAATATATTCAGATATTTATTTCAGATTTTTTTAATCTATGTATAAGAGATTTTTGTGATTTGTTTTATTTAGTTAACGGGTGTGTTCTGTTTGGTTCTTGGCATGCACTTTAATATTATCCTCCATATATGAACTGAAAACAGCAGCTTTAGTAAAAATGTTGGTGGTTGTTCCAAGATGAAAGCTCAAGATTTGCCACAATTTAGCAAAAAATGACCTCAGTGTGTCAAGAGAACATGGAACAACAAGTATATTAATATTTAAGGTATACCTCCTCAAATCATTCATATCCCTAAGAGATTTAGATGTGAAAGTATTTCCATTTGACCAATGAATGTTTTCTTGCTGGTTAATTGGGCATCTATGTAAGATATAAAAAAAGTACTTTGTTTTTAAGAGAATAAAATGATTACATTTAAGCCTCAATGTCCCTTCTGAGGTGTAGAGGCAGTAAATTAGCACAGGAAAACTAAGAACATGAGATGCAACCAAAGGTTTTTAATTACATTTTAATGAAAAGGAAATGGGCATACCATTATACACAAATGTGTTTGGTCCTTTTTAATCAGCTACCAAAAAAATCTTCAAAGGAATTGAGCATTTGGTGGTGGCCTTGTGGTTAGAGTGGTACGCTTGTGTTCTGAGAAGGTTGCAAGTACCCGGTTCAATGCCCACAGCCTCCTCTCTGGGTCCATGAGCAAGACCCTTAACCCCTGATTGCTGCAACGTTGCCCACTGCTCCCCAAGGGGATGGGTTAAGATGCAGAAGTGAATTTCTCCGTTGTGAGATCAATGATATTTATTATTATTATTCTTTAAATCCCTCTCTTCACCAGTGAACAGCTTGTTCCTTGTTTACGCTCATATTTTGACTTCTTTTGATATGCTTCCAGTTTTTAAGGTTTCCTTCCTTCCTATCACCCTTTAGCCTTTTCTCCCTCCACAGGTTTCCTCAAAGTTTACTTATGATTGATAATTCAGTCATCATTTAAGACCGTTGGTGTGTGATGCATTTTTTTTTTGGAAGATGTGGATTGGATGATTATGATCCTTGATTGTATACACTCAGTACTTGTACATTTTTAAGTAATAAGGAAGGAAAAGAAAAACACACTAAAAAGTCAATTAAAGTGTCAAAATGTGTGTGACTTGAGCCAGCCTGGTCCTGATCTGCATGTTTTATTGAGTATTTCCTTGAATAGGATATTTTGCAGAGTGTATTCTATTAAATGATCTATTTTGTTTTTGCAAAGTCTACATATGTGTAGGTCTGTGTAAACTGTTTAGGAAGAGATGTAAATAATTATACAGTGAAGATTTACTTGCATGTAATATATGGTATTGTACTTCAGGGTATGTTTTTGTAGCATTGTAATTATTTTTCTATTTATTTTAGATAGCATTGAAGGTGAAGTGTCATGTGGCTTCTCTTTGCTTACAGTAGCACTGCAACACTTTTCATCAATCGTAATCTAAATTAGATTCCATAGGTTAACTGCGAATAAATTAAGAATAAAGCTGATTTTAGATAATATATTAATTTCAGATAAATTAGAAGCATGTCCAATGTTTATCTTTTGTGTTTTATGGCATTTATGGATAAGAACAAGTAGATAACATGGGATTTGATGGATTTTTCAAGTTGAGACTGTGTTATTTTGTGGTTATGGATTGACTGGAGTGATAAAAAATTTCACAAAGTTTTCTTTTTTTATTATTATTATTATTTTACAAGTAAAGATAAATTTAACAAATGTTATATTTTGAATATTATTATTTTAAGCCAAATGAGAATTCTGATTAGATACATTTTGACAGATTTTGTTTTAAAAATTTTAATCATTTTAGAGTCAGTAGATGTTCCTGCATTTTCTGAGTATAAATAGCAGATAACAGCCTTGAGATTAAGCAAGCAGGACCCTCATGCTGTGACTACTTTGAAGTGTAAGTGAATGTTAATATGTTCTGGTGACTTGCACCCACACATATTCTTTAAAATGGGGTTTTTATCTATTTATTTCTCCATCATGTTTTTTTTTTATGTATCTAAAGGTGTCCAATTAGATACATGATCAGTTTTTTTAAATAAAACTAAAGATCTTATTTTTTTTTTGTCATGTGCTTTTAATGCTTGGACATTCTGGTGTTTCAGTTAATTTAGAACTAATTGATCTTTAATGGAAAAAGGCATAAAATCGCTTTTTTTTTTAAACACATTCCTTCCATATAAATGGAAGAATTGTCCTGCCTATCGCAGAGACAAAATAAGCTAGAACGGTTTA